ATTTATTTCATGGTATTGTAACAAGCAAACGTTGAATACATTTTTCATTCGTGTAAGAAGAATTATTTAACACGATAAATTTAGCTGTACTATGGTTATTTTTAATCTACGACCACAGGTCAACCTGATTTTTAATCCCTACGAAATTAATTTAACCACGAGTAAGTAACGAGAACGCTAAAACCTATGTTTCCATTGAAGAATATTGTAAAAACGTATAAATTGTTATATGCAATGTTATAACAAATTGTCGGAAGTATAAATTTTTAATAAAATTGTGAAAATTGATAAATTATACCGTGTTACGATATCGGAAATCTCCCGCGAAAATCTCCCGCGAAAATTTCCCGCCTGACCTAACCGACGATTTTGCTAATGACTTTGGGGAGAGGGTACCGCAGGTATATAAGGACCCGCCGATGTCCCGCGAAATCATTTACCCTTTATACTGGGCCCTAGACACTTCGCGGCGTATTTTGACCTGAAGGTTCTGAGATGTGAATAGAGTGGTCGGGGGCTACTAGCTAGTCTATGTCCACCCTGTACACACTCAGCCTTCTTGTAACACTTGTATACATTAGAATCAATTAGAATTTCTATTACTAATTATTAAACAAATTTTAACAATTACCGGCACTCGCTAGGCACGTAATATCAGACTTTAAATACTCGACTTCGAACTTCGGTTTAGTCATAATTCTATTAATGTTATAATAACGTATAATTTATTAATTTTCACAATTTTATTATTAATTTATACTTCCAAAAATTTGTTAAAACATTACATATTATTATTTATACATTTTTGCAAGTTTCTTTGACAAATAAGTACGTTTCAACGATCTTATTACTTTCTCGTTGTGAAATCAAGTTCGGAGGATTAAAAATCAGGTTGACCCTTGGTCGTAAATTTAAAATAGCCATAGTGAAGGTGAAATTATTATTTTAAATAAATGTTTCTATACGAATTAAGAATCTATTCAACGTTTGTTTGTTGCAATACCGTGAAATAAATTGTATTATATATTTTCTCAGTTTAGACTGAATTTAAAGTTCGTAAGGATTAGAAATCAGGTTGACCTGTGGTCGTAGATTAAAAATAGCCATAGTGAAGGTAAAATTATTACGTTAAATAATTGTTTTTATACGAATTAAATATTGATTCAACGTTTATTTGTTGCAATACCGTGAAATAAATTGTATTATATATTTTTTCTGTTTACACTAAATTTAAAGTTCTGTTTACATGTTATAACAATTAGAATGTAGACGTTTTGCCGTTTCACGGTTTTTCCTCTGTTAATTATGTGTTTATAAATCATTTCAAACTAAAGCAGCACCATGCCCACCCTTAATTAAACCGTCTCAGTAGTTTACCGTAATTAATAATCTATTTTCGGAATTTATACGAGAATTTTTGAATTTTAGTAAATACTAGAGTCAGTGTCCACCCTGTACACACTCAGCCTTCTTGTAACACTTGTATACATTAGAATCAATTAGAATTTCAATACAATAGACTGAATAACAATTCATTTTAACTAATACCTATTAGAAATTTTCCTTTTAAAACAAATATAAATCATTTTACCAATTACTGGTACTTGCTAGACATTTAATATCAGACTTTAAATATTCTCCTTTCGGTTCTTTTAAATACAATCAAATAATTTCTTCAATTATCGATACTGACTTGGAATACTCCGCTTCGAATAAAATATTTCGAAATTATTTTGAAGGTTTAGGGAAATAAACATTTGAATTTTAGTCATCGTTGTTCTTCAGACTTGTCGAATAGGATATTGAAATTACTTTGAGAGGTTGCTTTTTCGTAATAGCAATTGAAATTAATTTGAAATTTTTCTTTCAGTATCCTTGTGGAACTTGTAACGAATGCTGCTCCTAATTCTTAACACTTGCTGTAAAATTATTAGTTTTTGCATTTTAACAAAGTGAATTAATATTCCTAATTCTTATAAAATTATTAATAAACGTGAAATATTCTTGTAACGGTAATCTTATGAGAAATACTCGTATAATTAATTCTGAAATTTTTGCTTACATGTTATAACAATTGTAACGTTTACGTTTTGCTGTTTCGCAGTGTTTTCTCTGTGAATTCTATGTTTCGAATTTATTTCAAGCTAAAGTAACGTCTGTGTACTGCAGTTCAACCTAATTTACTTAAATTCGAATTACGATACAGTATATTTACAATTCTACCTGAATTTTCGAAATTATAAACATCACCAGTAAACTTCCATTGCATGTAAACAATATTCTCCACTAATCGGTAATTATAAAGTAATTATAAAGCAATTATAAAGTAATTACCGAAAAATATACACTTACATTCTCATGTTGGATCATTTACCTCTCTTCTTCTCGTCTGTTCACACATTCTCTCTAACTCTCCCAATTTCGTTATCCAATCGTTCCTATTTACTCTCATTTTCAAATTTCACACGTTATTCGCTATTATCCTCCCTTAACAAACCAACAAATCCCAGCACAATTAAAACAAAAATAATACACTACCAGCTTTTAAAACAAATATAAATCATTTTACCAATTACTGGTACTTGCTAGACATTTAATATCAGACTTTAAATATTCTCCTTTCGGTTCTTTTAAATACAATCAAATAATTTCTTCAATTATCGATACTGACTTGGAATACTCCGCTTCGAATAAAATATTTCGAAATTATTTTGAAGGTTTAGGGAAATAAACATTTGAATTTTAGTCATCGTTGTTCTTCAGACTTGTCGAATAGGATATTGAAATGACTTTGAGCAATTGAAATTAATTTTAAATTTTTCTTTCAGTATTTTTCATATATTTTCTCTGATATTGAATTTATTTTATGACTTGCTATTTTGTTTACTAATAATTTACCATCCAACGAATTTGCATGAATTGCATGTTAAGTAGTTAGTTGATTTATTATTGTATATTGTGAGATGATTTGGAACGAGTGCACTATGCCCACCCTAAATTAAACCGTCTAGTAGTTTACCGTAATTAATAATCTATTTTCGGAATTTATACGAGAATTTTTGAATTTTAGTAAATACTAGAGTCAGTGCATCGCGTATTGAAATAATAGCTTCATCCCTAGTTCGTTTATTATTGAATATTTTTACGCGTTTAACTGATGCTTCTCCCCAATTCTCGTCGCGTATTTTATTCAAATTTTCTTATATTCTAGAATCGAGAAAGATATGAATTCGCGTTTTTTCTTTTAATTCATTATTATTATTGCAATAATTTCTATCGTTACATTTAATTCTAATTGTTTAGCAGCTCTCCTACATTTTACTGACACTTGTCGAATCGACCCTACATTTTTTTTTTTACGTGGAGGTAGGCCGACTCTATGTGATAAACAATTGGCAACCAAACGGTGGCTCGCTAAAGCGATATATTATGAAATTAAATTAATCACTCAATAAGTATTAACATTAGATTGTTTCCTCGATATGGCCATGGTGGTCATCAGTGACTGGAGTGCCTCAAATGTTTAAAATAATTAAAATAAAATAAATGTTGTCAACTAAAAATTTTGAACGTCATAGCTAGCTAGAGTGAACGTGTTAATAAGTAATTGTTGTTCAAATTATGTCGTGTTTTATGTCATTTTCATCAGAAAAATCTCATCAATATGTTAAGAAAAATTTCGGGATAAAAAAACGTAAAATTAAAAAAGTTGATATTTAAATTGCTTGGTTGCCTGGACTCACGTTTCATGCTTATCTTTTATTCGCTGTCCTTGTCTACGTTCGGCAAACTACAAAGGCGGGCGCGAGGCTCGAAAACGTAGTCCCTGACTCTACGAGTGTCAGGTTTAGCTTCCTTGCGGTCTGACACTTGTGGAGAATATACTGTACATCCTTAAGGGGGGCTACATCAACCTGAGGCTTCAAAAAATAGGTCAAAGTTTGCAAACTGTTTTCATAGGTAGTAGTTAAATATGAAAAAAAATTCCCAAATTTTACCTATTTTTAGACACCTTACAGAGGTGTGTACTTCCTTAATTAGGAACGTTAAAATACTTTAAAAAATTTGTTGCAGAATTTTCTACGAAATGTACAGATTCTTTTTTCTTTCTAATTTGTGATATTACGATTGTATTTTTGGGAATTTCGATTTTCTTCAGGTACCTGCGAGCCAATACCGCCGATTCTTTTATTCGCCGGGGAAGCTACAATTCCGGGACATTACAGTACAGTGCACGGTGCTAGATTGAGCGGTATTCGCGAAGCTGAGAGGATAATTCAACTAACAAAACGGTTTGGTGGTCCACCAAAGACCACCTCTAACAAGAGTTGAATTCCTGCGTAATTTCGTGCAGGTATGAGAAATTGATAAATGTGACAGTAAACGTGTCGTGTCTTTTGTCCAGAATCAAACCAATCGCGATGTCAATTACGACCGAATGAAATTTTCATTTACGAAATTTTGGCTAAATTAGAATACCGATTATTGTATATTTTGTAGAATATAAAGAGACGAGTTGTCTTGAATTCCTTTGAAAGATCCATTTATTTATTCCTTTTTTATTCGATATTTATTACACTCGATTATTGTAACTGATACTTTCTCTGTATCTTAACACCACAGATTGTTAATTTTAATAAATAGTATACTTTCTGTACCTTGATGTTCCATTTATTTTGCTGATACATGTGTTTATATTAATATTTCAAATATACCTTCTGTTCGATGCCGGCAAGTCCCCGGGCGCGATTCATCAACGTTGAGAACCTGCGTATGGCGATCCTTGTTACACAACGCGTCTATGATTTCGGGTTCTTGCCGGAAGTCAGAACACATGCGCACATACGCTAATCGCGTCCGTTGTCATCCCCACCCAACGTGCGCGAAGCGGCAGCGCCGTCGCATCGCCGATTGTCGCCATTTTGTCTCGGATTCTCTTGTTCTTCGTCGTTCGTAAATGCAACCATCTAGCGTGCGATTTACTAGAGTTTCTTGTTCGTTTGTGAATTTGCGTTGAGTGCGTGTTTCGTGGGAAATTGATTGCCCAATTTCCACCACCATTAGTGTGTCCTGTTTGTATAAAACAATAAAACATCGCTAGTTACACGCAGTCGTAATTTCCTCTCCACGTGGCCACCACCTCGCTGACCCTCATCCATTCCACCAGCACCTAACCGAAACACCTTCAAACGATACGAAAGAATGTAGTCAAGTCTCGTTCCACAATTTCTTCTATCCTTTTTGGCAAAGCTGTTATGCTGTAGGTACAAAATTTCTTCGATTTTGCATTAAAATATTTGTTAACGTTATTTTTCGTAGAGTCGTTATTGTCAAATTTTCTGTCCATTAAAAAATGTAATGCATGAAACAGAGCGTAAAATCTAAGGAGACAACGTTCAGAGAATATAGTGGATGTGATAAAATTTCCCAACCGAATTCACATAATTCTTTTTGCACCTTTTGTGCCAAATGTGATCTGGCATTATCGTGGTGAAGAATCACTTTCTTCCTATTTGAGGGTCCTGAACGTTTCATTGCTATTATTTCTGTTAACTGTTCTAACTGAGCACAGTATACATCTGAATTAATAATTTCATTTCTCAAAAGTAACTCAAAATACACAACACATAATAAATAAAGTTACAAATAATAGTAAAGTTTTTGTAATATTTACTGTATAACGAATAAAAAATTTCAGGTAATATTTAGTATTCTTCAGTATGCAAAAGAATTCATGAAAAATGACATTTCTTTGATTAAACATGTGCAAGTAATTTTATATAAATTAGACATTAGTGTTTAAGTAACTCTGTTAAATTTAATACGTTGATTTATTGCATCGACATCATTATAACGACAATTCTTTCACAGATACCTTCAACATTTAGACATTAAATGGTAATATTCATTGTAACAAGTGGAATGTTTCAAGTGAAAAAAAAAACAGAATTCGAACGAATTTTTAAACATTTACATATAATACACAACAGATACATATAATACGCTTATATTTTCCTTTTATTACTTTCCGTTGGTCCCGTTTAACAGCAATCCGTGTTATTTCATCGAGGAAACGTTCTTATTCCTTATAATTAATAACAATAATGTCTGTAAAGATATGTATAGTTACTTGAATAAAAGCTATGCTTTTAATGTACATTTTAAAATACATTTAGTACTAAAAAAATAAGTAGCTTCCTGTTACTGTAAATTGTTTCTATGTACTGACG